AAATACATTATAAGAGCCAGCCAGAAAAAAAAAAAAAAAAGAGCCAGCCAGAGAGCTCAGAAGATTAAAGTGACTGCTTAGGCAGAGGCAGTGACCTGCTGCCCCCAGCAGTGCTGACACAGCCATTGAGACTGGGTGTGGTGGCACAGGCCGGTAATCCCAGCGCTTGGGAGGCTGAAAACAGGAGAATTACTAGAGTCTGATCTGTGTAGTGAGACCCTGTACTAAATTAAAAAAAAAAATTATTAAAAAAGAAAAGGATGGGGAAGGGAAAGGAAGGAAAAGTGATGGCCCTGTGGCCTGAGGAGGGCCTTCCTTCTGTCCAGTAAGGTCAGGGTGACCTTCTGGTTTCCTTTCCACTGCCTAGCAGGCCTTCCTTGTGGATTCGTCCAGCTGGCCTTACATCGCCATCACGGCCACCATAGCTAACTGGTATTGATCACTTAATGTACCAGGTCTGTACTAAGTACATCACATGCATTATCTCCATCGATCTTCAAAACAGGCCTCTAAGCAGACAGGGCTGTTATCTCCACTCTACAGATGAGGAAATGGAGGCTTAGCAAGATTAAAAAAGTCCCCCAAGGTCGCAGACCTTGCTTCAGCCAAAAGGTTAGGAAAGGAGTAGGGAGACCCAGGAAGTCACTGTACCCTGGAAGTCTCCCCCTGAGCCTTGGCCCCTGAAATGAGGGCTCCAGGATGAGCTCTATAGGGGCTTCCTCAGGGATTTCTTAAGGCTGTCCAAATTTCTCCAGAGGTCTATCCTGAAGCCCTGTTTTGCTTTTCCAGGGAAGCCGAACTTATAGCAATAGCAGTGTTAAGAGTATAGTGGGACATGGCGGCACACAAGTGTAATCCCAGCACTCAGGGCTCAAGCAGGAGTGCTGCCCTGAGTTCAGGTCCAGTCTGTACCACACAGTGAGACCCTCTCTCAATAAAGAAAACAATGAACTTTGGAGCCCAGTCGCTCATATTCAAATGCATCAGCTGCTGAAGTGAACTTGGGCAAGTCCTTATCATACTGCATGACTTGTCACTTATGCATCTGTGAAATGGGACGATACCAATGGTACCCACTTGATTCTTTGGGTGAGGATTAAATATGTTAATATTTGTCCAGGGCTTAGAACAAGAACAGCAGCTGGGCCAGAGGAAGTGTTTTGTAAGAGTCTGTTAAAGAAAGACAAACCTCTCTCCCATCCCCTTGTTTGTAGTGAGGTGCTGCTTTAAGAAGGAAGTCTGGAGGCCCAGGAGGATGGGGTAGAGGGGACAGACGATTTTTATAATTAAGGCAATGCCCAAGAATTAGAGAAACCTTGTAGAATCAACCAAGAGAGAGTGGTGGTTAGGGAGGCTGCTCTCTTCCCTGGGCAGTTCCAAAGAGGGTGAATGAATGAATGAATGAATGAATGATGAAGGCCAGAGGAGACTCTAGGGGAAGGAATGGCAGGAGGTCACAGTCTGGTGGCCTCTAATTCCCAAGAAAAGGATGGGAATATATTTATCTAAAATCCTTGGCATTTATTTTTAAAGAACCAGAGGCATGGCTTTTGGGGTTGGCAGAAAATACCCATCAATAATCCTGAACCCCCAAATGAGGGTCTGGGGGAGCCTACACTCTTAATCCAGGCCGGGCTTTCAATCTCACCGGGTGACTTGTGTGTGTGTGTGTGTGTGTGTGTGTGTGTGTGTGTGTGTGCCAGGAATTCCTGTCCCACGTGGGGCGGACTCCGAGGTACTCAATTAAGCAGCCAATGAAAAGTCAGCTCTCCGGTAGCAAACGTCCCTGACACTTCTTGTAACATAAACAGTTGAAACGTTTCCAATTAGAACTGGAGACGTTTGAACTCTCTCTCTCCACCACTCCCCTCCTTCTTTAAAATAATTGTCAGGCGTTTTGGACAGGGTGTTGTATATATACTTTTTGAGTTTTTAATTTTCTTTCTCGAGCAAAAAAGATAATACTTTTTCCTCCTCGTTTATTCCTAATGTTGTGGGGGTGGCTGGGAAGTGGGGGGTGGAGCGGCGGCAAGGTTAAAGGGGTGCTGCGGGGTTCATTGCTTCCCTGCACTCTTCCTGCTCGGATTTGGTGGCCTGGGGAGCCAAACCCCCAGGAAGGGTTAGGGGTGAATGAATGAACATACAGGAATAAACGTTTTTTCTCAATCAAATATTCACACAGACCCTGTCTGCTACAGGCAAAAGAGAGTCCAGAGGTTGGCTGTGGAGGCAGATGCCCAAGATTCCAATTCTGCCCCTCTGCCCTGCTTGGGGCAAATTAGTAAGCTTCCTCGGCCGCTCTTTTCTTCTCTGAAAAATGGGCCACCAGCCAGGCAGCCCCCTGTGGGAGTGAGGGGAGAATGGCTTGCGTAGTGCCTTGGCACCGGTGACCTCCCTCGGGATTGCCCTCGCTGGAGTGCTCTGGTTCCTAGGGTCTCCCGAAGCGCTGCAAGCTCGAGACAGAGCACAGCCCGCTTGGACCCGACCTGGGGGCGCCTTGGGAGTCGGCGGAGAGAGACCAAGAGCGCGGCGCGCATCCTGGGCATCTTGAGGCATTGCATTTAATAAATCTGGGCGGCACGCACACCGCTCTTTCCCCCCATGGCTCTCAAATCGAGACCTGCTGCAGGACCCCCAGTTTACGGGGTCTTAAAACCCCCTGCACTTTGATTAACAGCTTCAAAGAGCTCCCTTCAAAGTTCGCCCCGCTCCGTCCCCCTCTCCAGAGGCCTCCCCTCCCCCACCGCTCCCGGCCTGCTGGCGCACCACCTTAGCAAAACACTAAATGCAAGTTGAAGGGGTGGGGGTGGGGAATTTCAGGCTTCCTCCCGAAAGTGGGCCGCAGAAATTACCTATTGGAGACGTGCATAGGAGTTGGAATACCTTGGCGTTAGGGTTTTTTCTTTTCTTTTCCTTTCTTTCCTTTCTTTCTTTTTTTTTGTGTGGGGGTTTGTGTGTGTGTGTTTTTACCTTTTATTATTTAAATTGATACGTTTCATTACTAGGGAGAAAAATAAAATATTCCTTTGATACACAAAATCAAATTGATATTTAGCCTCTGCTTACTTTTTTATGCATGGCTCCTTTATACCACATGGTAGTGACAGATTGTTTGAGCTGGAAGGAAAAGCCATTCAAAGCTAATTAAGCAGCCATTCCAAGCACTATTTGCAAGCGGGAGGCTCAGAAGCCTCGGCATTTGTCAGCGCTCCCCCACCCCGCGTGGTTTTGACTGACAGCTCTGGCCTCCGACTGACAGCGCCGGGCAGCTTCACCAATCAAAAGTGGAAAATCCTTCTGGCTGTCTGTGATTGGTGCTTCTGGGGTTGCTCAGGGGCGTGGTCGACGTCCCCCACGTGGGGACCGGAGAGAAAGGGGCGGGGTGGGTAGGATGCGGGTGCGCCCACCCATGACGTCAGGGGGAGGGCAGAGAAGGAGGTGGGGAAAAGGAAGCTCTAAAGAGGAGCCATTTTGTGTCTAATGAATGCTGCGGCCAGATGCTCGCATCTGTCGACCCGGGCTTCTCCCTGCCCCCCTTCCGTGCGCAGCGCACACGATTTATGTTTTTATTTAGGAGAATAAATAAATGAAGAGAGGAGTGTGGTTCGGGACCGGCGGCCGGAGCGGGCGCTCACGTGTAGAACCCTACATTGGCCTCCGAGCGCCTCTTGCGCTCAGCTCCTCATTAAGATGCAAAAGCGAACCTGGAGCTCCTAATGAGGGGAAAATATAGATCCGGGGACGCGCACTCGCGGAGCGGCCGGGGGAGGGGGAGCCCGGGGGCCGCCCGGCGGTGCCCTCGCCGAGGCCTGCTGGCCCCGATCGCGTCCTCTAATGTGACTCCGAGCGCTGGGCGGCCAGACAATCGGGGTGCGGAGAAAGTGGCCCCGGAGTGGAGTGGTCTGCTTGGCCGCGCAAGGTCCATGACGCCCGCGGGAGGCCGCCCGGGGAGCGTCTGCCCGCTGGGGCGTCAAGGCTGGCGACTGAGACGCCAAAGGCTACTGTCGCGAGTAGGCTGAGTAGAACGGGTAGGAGCTCAGAGCTCAGAACGACCTGAAGGGCCCTGATAGCATTCCCTACTCCATCCGTTCCGTAGGACTCCGGCCCTGCAAGACTGTGGCCCGGACGTAGCTGTCCCTACGGGTAAGGAGCCTCCTGGGGGACCAGCTGCGAGGTGAGCCCACTGCCCGCGGAGCCAGAGTGGCCCAGGTTTCTCGCAGGCAGCCGCCGCACATCAGAGGCGCTGTTTATTTGGCTTTCTGAAAAGAAGGGCGAATGAACAATGCAGCAAAGCTGGGGGCTTATGGGGAGGAGGCAGGAAAAGGGACAAAAAAGGAAAGAAAAAATTTAAAAAGGGACATCTTCACTTGGGAGCAAAAATTTTAAAGGTTAGAGGCAACTTTAGGAGCCACCATTTTATGGGTCCTAAATCTTGTGAAGTGAAAACATTAAAGTGACAAAGTGATTCTGTTTGTTTTATAGTATCTAATTGGGCTGCTTTGCAGGCCTAATGAGATTAGAGGGAGGAATCGTTTGCTGCCACTGCAGAATAAACTGATACATTACTATAAGCCACAGGTTTGGAGGATTGTATAGCTTGTCTTTTTTTCTTTTGTTGTTATTCCTCTGTCTTCTCACTTTCCCCTCCCCGCCAAACAATTATTTGCAAGTAGATCTTGGGGAAAAAAAGAGAGGAGGGGAAAAAATCCTAGCAGCCCAGGACTATAATATATATCTATTTATTATATGTCTTTCGGTTAATTCTTGATCTGAGGAGCGCTGTTTTTCACTCCCATGCGAAAGTCACCAGCGGGTAGGGCCTGATTGCTACTTTTCATGCATAGTTTTAGACACAAGAGGGCATTGTGACGTCGCGCCGGGCGGCGCCCAATCACAGTCCGAGTTCCATTGCCCCACGTGGGGGTCTTGTTCTCCCATTGGCCAGCTCTGGGCGAAGCTGCCACATTATTTTGTTACTTTTCAGTCCCTATTTGGAACTGCTCTCGCGGCAGTTCAGACCTCGTGCTCGTACCCCTCGCCTGTCTGTGTGTGGTATCCGCAGGTCCGAGGCACTTTTTGGGGTGTATTTGCCTCTGTGTGTGTGTGTGTGTGTGTGTGTGTGTGTGTGTGTGTGTGTGTGTGTGTTGGGGCACGGAGTGGAGAGCTGGGCCGAGGGAAGGAAGGAAGCTGCAGAGCTCTCCGGACTTGGGCTACGTCTCCTCACCAGTAGTCTTCTGCCTGTGAGCTCGGATCACTCTTGCTGGGAACGCAGCGCTGGAGCTAGGAGCAACGAGGACCCTTGGCTGAAGCTTCCCGTGCCCGCTGGAGTTAGGATGCTGCTTTGCACCTACTGAACCTGGAGTTCCTCCCGGCCCCGGGAAGGGCTTGTAGCGGCGGCAATAGCAGACGGAACAGCAGGCTCCTCTCCGAGGGGGGGCGTCGAAGCGCCCGCGCCGGGCTCCAACCCGCACCCGCCGGCGCTCCTGCGGCCCAGAGCCGTCACCTCCTGCCAGCCTCCTTTTTCTCCTCGTGAGCCGCTGGCCCCGCTGCCTCTGGAATCTGACCTTCCAGCCCCGGATGCTTGGGGCTGCCCCGGCGCGCCCCCCACCAAGCTCGACGCACTGAGCGATCCACTGGGGCTCGGCGCACGCCCCTGGAGGGGCCCCCGGCCTTGGGACCCCGCGCCGGACACGACGATGTCCTCGAAGCCCCCGGCTCTGACGCTCTGCACACAGCCGGGGGAAGGCGGCCGGCCGCAGCCCGCCGAGCCCTAGGAACACAAAGCCCGCGCCCGCTGCCCGGCCTCGGTACCGGCCGACTACTTTGCCGCCTGCTCCGCGGCTCTTTGTCTCCGCTTGGGGCGGGCGCCCGACTCTGGGATTCCGCTGCGAAAGCGGAGTGGGGGGGCCGGGGGCGAGCTCTCGGTTCCCCGGCCGCCCCCCGCTCGGGCTCGGCTCCCCCCTCCCCCGCACCTCCCCGGCTCGGGCTCTCGGTGCTTCCACGCTCCCCGAATCACGACCCCTCCCTGCCATGTATCCGCAAGGCAGACATCCGGTGAGTAATTGCAACTCGGTTTATTTAAGCATCTATCATGGCAGGGTAAACGAGGCAGTTTATCTGGCACCACCATTTTGCTTGTTGCTACCTTTCTGGTGTGTGTGCGTGTGTGTGCGCGTGTGCATACAAAGGGGCCGGGACTGGGGGGTGTCGTGGAGAGGTGAGAGTGATTAGCCTAGCGGCGTGGGGGGTTGCGTGCGGCCTAGGGGGAGCTATTCTCGCTCCCCGCCCCCTCTCCCAAGTCCCCCCAACTCGTCGGGCGGGTCTCCCCCGCCCCTGCTTACTTGGGAACGGGGCCCTTCAGTGGAAGTGATGAGACCCCCCCACCAGCCCCTAGTCTAGGAGCTGGGAAACTTGGGATGGCCTGGGCGGGGAGGGTGGCTGCCTACCGTGGGGAGGGGCCTGGGGTCGCCGGAATCCCCGTCTGATGCCTCCACCCCCTCCCATCTTGTCCTCGCCGGCTCCAGGCTCCCCACCAGCCCGGGCAGCCGGGATTTAAATTCACGGTGGCTGAGTCTTGTGACCGGATCAAAGACGAATTCCAGTTCCTGCAAGCTCAGTATCACAGGTAAGGCCGGTGGGGGCGGCCGTGGGGGCTAGCGGGAGGGCCAGCGGGAGGGCCAGCCGGGAGCAGCTTTCGCCACCACCCCCCCCGCAGGGACAGAGGGCTGTCGACCCCGGGGCGGCGGGGCCTCCGCCTTTTGTTTCCCCTTCCGAGCGAGCGCGTCTCCTTAACCCCTGCCTGCCCACAGCCTGTAGCTCCCAGCGCTGCCTCCGGGTGGGGTCAGGTCTCCTGTGGGTTTGTTGTGGCTTCCGGGGGTCGGGATCCATCGACGGGAGCCTCCGTCTCCCCCCAACACCCCGCGGCCGGAACAAACTGTCCTTCCGGGCCTTGGAAAGTTTCGAGTTGTTCGAGTAACCCCCTCCCCAAGGCGGGGACCCAAAACGCCCAGTGCCCTGGAGGTAATGGGGTGCCCCCGGGATGTCCGGGAAGTGGTTCCCCGAGACCCATCGGTGAGGCCCCGGGAGGAGGCTCCGCAGGCGCTGGCCTGAGCAGCTCCTTCTGCCTTTGCAGCCTCAAAGTGGAGTACGACAAGCTGGCGAACGAGAAGACGGAGATGCAGCGCCATTACGTGATGGTGAGCGGCGCGGGAGGGGAGCGCAGGCAGGGCGCATAGGGCTCGCTGGAATCCGCCGAGGCGGGCGCTGGGGACCCCGCCGGGCCAGCAGCAGAAAGCAGGGACCAGTATCGTCCGAGTGTGCTATCCGCCCCACCAGCTTCCCCTGGTGCGGGCCTCTGGAGTAGGGGAGTTGAGAGGAGGGACAGAAAGAGAAACCCAGATTTCCAGCCGGGGCCCTCTTTACAGGCTTGGTGTGTTCTGAGGGCCTCCTAGAGTGCTGCTTGCCCTATCATGGTTAGAAAGATAGGATAGGACGAGCCCGTGGCAGGGCTGAATAAAGATCTCTCTCTCTCTCTCTCTCTCTCTCTCTCTCTCTCTCTCTCTCTTTCATTCTTTCCCCCCCCCCCCCTCTCTTTTCCTCTCTCCCTCTCCCTCTCCCCCCTCTCTCGGAGACCTCCCGGGAGCCTTTGGAAACTTTCTGCCTGGCAGCCCTGGGATCTAGCCAGAGTAGGACAGAAAAGCCCTCTGGGTTTTCGGAGGAGTGGGGCAACCTCTGAAAATTCTCTGCCTCCGCTTCCCTCCTGGGCGGGGGTCCCCAGCTGAGTCTTTTCTGCCCTTGTGCCCTAAGTTAGACCATCCTGGCTTTAGCCAGGGTCTGTTCCAGCCGGTTTACATTTTCTGTTTCCCAGAGGGCAAAGGCAGCTAAGCACACCTCTTTCCACATAAGAGGGCTTCCACACCCTGCTAAGTAACTCTCCAGGACAAGAGGGACCCAGAGTGAACACCATTCCCTGTGGAGCTGCACCTTGTCTAAACAGGAAAAATGACAGCGACTGTGCCAGTGGGAGGACATGGCTGGTGCTTGTCACTACTGTGTCTGTGACTTAGGTTGAAGTTGAAAAATGAGGCTTTCTAGGTTGTCTGTTAATGGAAATTCTTTTTACCTTTAGTACTATGAGATGTCCTATGGCTTGAACATTGAGATGCACAAGCAGGTAAGAGCTTCTCTTGTTATGAAAGCCACTTAATTCAGTATCTTTGCAAACTTAAAACACATACACCTCTCTGTCTCTTCTGGTTTGCAAATTAGTTTGGTTCCTCAGTTGCTCCCATTTCTCCTAGAGTGGGGGTGGATGGAGTTAGCCCTTGGCTCACCGGCAAGGTGCTAAGGCTTTGCTGGCTTCTTGGACACCTTCAGCTCTTAGTATTTGAGCTTATGAAATTAGTGCTGGGCTTGGATCTTGGTAGAGAATAAAAGACCAAAGGAAAAGTTGTACCTCCAGGAGCTGCTTTACAAACTCGTGAGAACCTGGAGAAGGCTGACTGCTTTTATCTGTTTCAGTGTAAGATTCTCAAGAGGAAATGTCAGAGGGTTTTTCTACCCCCTTTTTTCTTTTTTTCTTCTTGCAAAAATGTGATGTTCTGCCTTGATAAGATTAAACCTTAAGAGCCTTAAAAGCCAGGCTTAGCTATTGAAACTTAAGGAAACGAAGCCACTGGTGGTTTAGGAATGAAACACGACTTTCATGCCTTCACATTTAGGAGGCAGTTTCTCATCTGTAACTTCATTTGAAGGTGGCCAAGTTCCCATTTTACAGAGAAGGAAGCTGGGCTTGTGATGGACAGAGTCAACCTCCCAGAGGCAGCCAGGCCTGGCCTTTGTGATGGCTGGGAGTTGAGTTCAGCTTTGAAATCCTGAAGTCAAACCAGTTTAACTAGTGTGCTTTGATGGATATGTAAACTACTTGGTATTGTCAATTTTCTAATAACAGTATACCTCAAACCAAGCAAATACAAACACTTTATCTCACGGCATATCAGTAACTAGCCCCAGTGTGAGGCTGGGCTGTGGGAGAGGCCTGTTTGTGTAGGTTTGTACCCAGGAAAGACTGCCTATAATTTGGCTTGGCCCTCGATTGGCCTTGACTTGGCGTGTATAAATGGCGCAGGCCATTCTTTGTAACAATTGGTTGTGTTCTTGAAATCTCAGAAGGCTGTTGACTCATTCTAGCCTTTGGTGTCCGTGACTTGAATGGATTCTGCGCTCTAAATTAACAGTCGTTTACAAGGTTTTAAGTTCTGCACTTTAAAGGGGCAGGACCCAGGGCAGGTGAGGAGGACAAGTGACCCCGGAAAGCAGGCTGATTCCTGCCCGCTTGAGTGGCTTCGTATAGAGGCTTTTACATGCAGTTCTTCCCCCTCCTGGAGGGAGCTCCAGCGTTGGGTGAAGGACAGCCAGGAAAAGGCCTGGGTTTACTGAGCACTGTGGGAAATCCAGCCTGTGGCTTCCTAAGGGATTAGTTCCCCAGGATGACACATGAGGACTACCACATTGAAACTCCTCAGACTGCAGAAATAATAAACAGACGCTGCTCTGTGTGTAAGAAAGGTTTTTCTGCAGAGGACAGAGCACAGGTAGGTTCTATCTCACTCCAGGCAGAACTGACCTGGTCTCACTGGCCCAGAAAGGAGACAAAATAAACTGAGCCAGGGGTCTAGAGTGTTTCAGGACCTTTGCATATTATGCAAGGTGTCACTTCCTCTCTTTTTCCACCCCCTTTTTTTTCTCTCTCTCTCCTAGGTGCTTAGTATCTTGGGTGTGTTTAAAGAGGGTAATTGTGCCCAGGTTTAAAATTTATAGCAGCAGTTATCCAAAGAGCTTTGTAATTAAGGTGTAATATGTCGCTGCATGTTGAGGTCTGCATGGGTGGTGTCCCCCCTTGGAATGTGTGGATTCCTGTGGCAGAACGAAGCCACCTTGGCAAGAGCAGCCGGCGATGCTCTGAGCCCACAAGAGTTAAAACATCGTAACGCATTTGGTAGAAGAGCAGCTGTGTGCATCTGGGATTTCTGGCCATTCCCCAAGCAGGATTCTTGGGAGGGGTGTCTGAGGTTTGTGGCTTCGTGGTCTCTACTAATCCCTTCAGCTGCCAGTGGCGTGATAGTGCGGATTCTTTGCCCTTTTTTTTTTTTGGTGGGGAAACTGAGGCTTTGGGGAGCCCCAAAAGGCAAGCCTTGGGCTCAAATTAGAATCTCTGTTGCATTTGCCTTGAAGTGTGTTTGCCCTGGATGCTGGGCCACCCGGCTCTGGCAGTCTGAGCTGGGTGAAATCACCCTGTGGTTGTGTAGGAACAAAGGGGCACAGAGAGGGTGAAGAAACCTTGCTGAGAAACGCAACTCTGACCTAATGGCGCCGGCCACTCCCTCCCTTCGTTTGGTTTGTGAGGGTTCTGCAGAAGAAAGCCCTGCCACTAATTGCAGCGTGGGTCTTGGGTGTATTTGGCGGATGGTGGTTAGGCCTGAGCAAACAAGTTTATCAGCTGACCTGTTTAGCGGTTGACTGGTGTTTTATCTGCACACACAATCAAGTGAGTGGAGTACTTGAATTATTCATGCAGTGTCCTGCCCTCTAGACTTGACTGTTCGTGTGATTACATCGGGCCTGGAACAAACAGGCTGGATTCTTCATCTTCGAGCTGGGGTGGGGGTGGGGACTGTCTGTACTTTTATATAATAGATGATATACACAGCTAGCACCTTGGGAAGTGTGGCGGGGCTGGGCCTGGACACAAACACACACACACACACACACACACACACACACACGTTTCTCCACTACCACCAAATTATTATTATTTTTTTTTTAACACGTTGCTTTGCTGACTTTCTGGGAAATGGCAGTTAGTTGGGAACCTCAAGTTCTGCCAGATGGGCCCAGGAATTGACAGAGGGCAGCCGATAAGGTGCATGCAGGCCTTTTGATTTTCCTGAGAGGTTAAACTCACTGTGGCGGGCTCCTTCCCCTGCGGTTTTTCCTCCCCCCACCCTCCAACTCTCTTTGCAAGCTGTCAGATCCCAGAGAAGTAATAAATGGTTTCTCCTCCTACTCCTCTGCCTCCCTCCCTAATTATGGTAAAGCAAAGATTACAGAATCACAGGCCTGGCCCAGGACTTCAAGGGGTCGCCCACCTCCTCCAAGCTCCTGCTTCCAGGCAGAATGGAAGGGGTGATTCAGAGAGGCCAGGGAGGGGACAGTGTCTGACTAGCTCTTCAGAGTAGCTTTGAGTGCCCCCTCCCTCAACAGCAAAACCAGCTTACAGGATGGGCACCTGAGCGCTTACCTGTCTTGGTTTGAGGCACCGATGCTATAAGAGGTTGGGTCACACCGGTTCTTCACCCTCTGTTGGTAAGGGTGGATGTTTGGCAACTGGACTTGAGGCATGTTGATTTGGAAATAGCCTCATGCCCACACTAAACAGTCACCTTTTTCTGTGAACTAAACAACCCTGCCTTTGGGAGTCCTGGAACTGCAAGAGCCCTTTGGCTTCTCATCCAGATGGGTCAAGTTCCTGAAAGGGAAACCGAGGCCCGGAATGAGGAGCTGGCTTTCCCTCTCCCAACCAGCCTCAAACAGGCTTCTATCCCAATTCCAGATCTTTTTAGCAAGATACAAGAAATGAGGAGGGTTCCTTTACTAACTGCTAGCACCTCGTGTCTTTAATGACCATTGCTCCTCTGTGCTATTATCTGAAGGGCTTAGGCTACAAATTCACCTCCACCAAAGTCCAAAGTACCCCATGTGGGTTGTATAACCGTATCAGCTGAACCCTCTGTCCACAGTCCTCTTCTGAATTGCCAGCTATTTACACAACTAATGATTTTTGATGTGTGTAGTAATAACATAGAATGCCTGCCTAGCAATCCCAGAGGGAACTTTCACAGCCCAGGGATAGGTGGTAAAACCTGTGAACTTTTTATCCTCGCCACGTGGTGGCCATAAACCCAAGGCTGAAGTAGGACATGGGACATCTCCATTTGTCACTCCCTTTGCCTCTCAGAGGCTGGTCACTTGGGTTAAATAATATGGGGCGCAGCCTGGAAGGCCTCCAAACAGCTTAAAGATCTGTCATCACAGTGAGGCCAGCAGGCAGCAGGGCTAAAAGGATTGTAGTTGGTGGTGAGCAGGTGCCACCGCCCCTCCTAGGAGGAAAGGGACACAGGGGTCTTAGACTGGGGTGGAGCCTGTTGATGGGCACTTGGGCTGAGCTGTGAAATTTTTGTTTTGCAAGAGTACAAGAACCCAACTGCCCCCTGGTTGCCAACTGCCTCTTTGGGGTCTAGCTGTCTCACCTCCTGAGCCTTGCTCACTTTGGGGATCCACTGAGCCCAAAGCCTGTCTTATCCTGGCTGCCTTGGGTCTTTTTCTTCTCGGACACTTGATAGAGATGATTGTGGGAGCTGGGTCCATGGTTCCCATCCTCACCAAGACCCGGCCCTGAACTCTTCACTGGTGAGCAAACTCACTCTCCTCCTCTCTTGGACTCCACCCACCAGGCTCCCAAAGTTTACTCAGGCCCTTCATTTCCATTTTGTTGCAGCCCCCAGTAAATAAGGGATAAATTCCCTTTTCCTTTTTTTGCATAGGACTGTTTTTTCTGTCTCATTGTTTGTACAAAACACTGGGACACAAGGGCCAAAGGGCAGCAGAGGCCGGTCTCAGCCGGCCTTCCCACTTGCCTTCTTCAGGCCTCACCATCTCCTGGCCCCTGCTGGTCCCCCTGTCCCCTTCTGTGCAGCACCTGGTATGTAGTAGGTGTGCTGGAAAAGCGCTGGGCTCTCTCCTCTCAGTATCTGCTGGCTGAGGGAGTTGTGTCTCCGCTCGGTTTGCCCTAGGAATCGCAAGGCGGGGGTTTTAATTATGAGCTGGCTGCATCCACTTTCTTCATCAGTAAAATGAGGGAGTTGGATTCATTCCCAAAAGGGTTATTAGGGGCCAGGGATGTGCCGGGTGCGGGCTGGGGTTGGTTACATAGAGGAATAAGACACCACTCCACTCCCCCCCGCCCCAGGAGCCAGGCAGCTAAATAAGTAATCGGAGCACAGTGAGGTAAGTGCTAATGTGGCAGCGGCGGCACGGCCTGTGCGCTCTTCCCGGGAAAGTGGACCCCGCCAGGAGCCCAGCTGGTGCGGGAGGCTCCTTAGGGTGGCAACAACT